GTTCCTTCTTCACATCTGTTCTCCACTGCCTGTTCTTTTTGAAGAAAAAAGATCAATCAGCGGATGAAAGATGTCAACAACGAACACGGAAAAGTTTGTTCGAAGTCTTGCTTTCTCCGAAAAAAGTGCCAACATGTGTGTTATCGTCTCCGTGAGTTGCCAAAAAAAAAGGGACGAGGCGCTTCCGTATATCGTCTTGTGATTTTATTTCGGCTCTTGCCTTTGGAATCACAGTGTCAATAGATCAATACGATCAGTTCAAGGTCGAACGAACAACAACAGTTGGCGTCCTGATAAAGGCCGGTGTCCCCAACACCCGCGGTGTAGCATCGCGCATGACGGATCCCGACTGCCCTGCTGCCTTTCCTGGCAACAGCCTGCTCTTGGTTTGTGCAAAGGGACAATTGCACGGTCGAACAGGCGGACCATAAAAAATCAACTGACCTCGTCAACCGACACTAGGGTGATCTTGTTCTTAATGCAGAAAGAACAACAAGCAAGGGGTCCTGTTGAAGAGTCCCCTCTCTTGACTAGCCAGCGTTCTGAAAAAACACCAGTGTTGTCGACACCGACGGTGTACCATCTCGCGTGGTTGTTCCTGACTGTGGTTTTCCTGGCTAGAGCCCCCTCTCGTTACAGAGAGCAAAGGGTTGGGTCGAAACAGCCGTGCCTTGAAAATCACTTGCTGACTACCAGATACCACTCGTTTATCGAACCTCGTCAGCCGATACATTGGTGAAAAAAAAAAAAGGTGAGCGGACACAGAATCACAAGAGAGAAGTTCTAATGAAGCACCACCTCCCTTGGTATATGCAGCAGCCCACGGACAGATGATAACACCTTTGACGCCTACTAGGAGGAAGTAGGACTCCGATACGTGTACCTTCTTGAGGTCCTTCATCCACTTAAGATCTTCATACGTACATCCGTGATTTTCACGCTGGCCGTCGGGGCCTTTTTTCCGGTATGGTCTCAAGAAGATTCTCGGCGTAGCGGGCGAGGCATTCGTCGAAAAACCGTGACTTGGGGGGTCCGCTGGGGCAGAGGCGTCGTCCTGATGATCGCCCGGAAGCGAAATCTTGGCTCCGTTGCAGCCAGCCCTGTCAGCGTCAACAATCCCCACGTCCGCCAAATGATAGAAGAGATGGGTTGCCCTGTCCCCTTGCTATCTTGCTCGCCCAGAGTGGGTTCGTTACCGCTGCACGCGAAGCTCTGGTCCAGAGCTCTGCACCCAGTAGGAACGAGCCCACCCTGGGAGAACAACACCACAAGGAGACGGGGGCGAACCATAGGTTCTGTCGTTTGGCGGCAGCGGCGATGGTCGACGGTGACAGGACTGACCGCAACAGGAACAGCATCTCTCTGCCAGAAAATGACCAAGCTGACGCCTTTTCCCCAGCGGATGTGAAATCCCGGCTTTTCGGCCTGAACCTCACTAGCTGCGCCGCAAATCTTCCGGAGGCCGTGTCGGTACTAGAAGCACCGTGATCCCCCCCCCCCCCCTCCCTCTCTCATGGCCGAACAACAACCGGGGAGGGGGGTGAGAATCTTAACCAGAAGACATGTCAGTGGGTGAAAGGCCAGAAAGAACGAGTACAAGGCAGGTTCGATATTCCTGTTGTCCCCCCGAGTGGGATTAGAGAACGGGTGATGTTGTCTCCCTGACGTACGAAAATATTCGGGAGGAGGTACATCCGTATCTTGTTCGTCCCTCTTGCGATATTATTTCTAGGCTCACACTCTCGGTGTCAACGCAAATCGTATCAGCTGAAGAGGCCCATGCCAAGCCTTGGCGCGGGCCTTCCCGCCTTGCAACAGGCCGCATCAGCCCGCGCCACCTAGCGCCGCTTATAGCGGTTCGATGACGACACCCGGGACACACACGTTTGGGGGGGGGCTCCAGCATGCCGCTTCATCCCCTGATCCACGCCACCATAGACGCCCTTCGCTGCTCTGGGGGCGGGGAGGGGCGGGCAGGCTTCGCTACGTCTCGGGACTCAGACTACAGTCCGGTAACGGAACGCCAACAGCAGGCAAATATAGACTTGGTATGTATATCGGCACGCCGAATAAG